GCTTATCGACACATGATCTAATCACAGTATCACGTGGTACCAGTGTAATCACTGAGTCTTACCGTACATGATATTATCGCCAGATCACATGGTGCATGGTTTAATCCTCACGTTACATTTTGTAATACGTGTTATTATCACCAGATCACATGGTTTTAGTCCTCACGTTTCATCTAGCAGTACATGTTAGTATCACCATATCACATGATTCGTAGTTTAATCCTTACTTTACGTCTAGTAGCATGTGATATTATTACCAGATCACATGTTATGCAGTCTGAGTTTTTATTTTTTTTACATCACAAACCCCCACACTCCATGGAAAGGCTGCTGAATTTTAAACTCCTTTCTTTTATCTCTACATCAAAAATACAATGTCAGATGAACCCAATCTTATAGTGAAGAAACTTTCATAGCCATGCCAGTAAATCTTATATTAACAGTGGAACAAAGTTCCTAAAAGCGTGTGGTAGTTTTTAGAAAATAGGAAATATAATTTCCTTAATAGCTACAAGAAAACCAGATTAAGCGTTGTTCCACTTTCTGTATATCTTAAGACCGAAAGTTTAAACGTAAATAAGTCTGTGACCGGAAGAAGTACCATAAATTTGGATCGTTAAAGAAACAGCAGTGCCTTAACGGTTTTCTTTATCAATGTGCTTCTAATGGAGGCGTATAATTTAATAAAATGTTGAAATACTGCGCAGTATTTTGTATACTATAAGAAGGACGTTAAATCCCGTGATAACTTTGAAAACAACTTACAGAACAAGTTTAAATATTTATACAGAACTTGTAATTCAAGGTGGTTTCACTTCAACATGAATATATGTAGGAAAACACAAATCATTTTTTCTTTAACAAACTGTCTTTAATTACCAAACTTTTCTTTATGTTTTATACCATCACAAGCTTCTTTTCAGTTTAGAAGTTTGTTCTGAATAACCATAATGTTTCCTCGGAGTTATCTGCTTTGTTTTTTGTTTTGTTTTTTAATTTCGCGCAAAACGAGGGCTATCTGCGTTAGCCGTCCCTAATTTAGCAGTGTAAGACTAGAGGGAAGGCAGCTAGTCATCACCACCCACCGCCAACGAATAGTGGGCTTGACCGTCACATAATAACGCCCCCACGGCTGAAAGGGCGAGCATGTTTGATGTGACAGGGATTCGAACCCACGACTCTCAGATTGCGAGTCGAGTGCCTTAACCACCTGGCCATGACGGGCCGAGTTAACATTTAAAGTACTGAAGAGTGGACTGTGATGCTACGAAACCGGTTAATCAAATAAGAATTTGGTAGAATGAAGAACAGTTTGGTAAACAAGAAAGGATTTGATTTTTGTTATATATATATATATATATATATATATA